ATAAATAAAATGGTTGTTATATTGTTTTACTTTTTTTGAGGATTTGAATAAATATTTTTGTTGTGTAACTTGTTTAAATTGGTAGTTTATTTAGTTAAGTTGGTAAGTTGTTGTAACTCTTTAGTTGGTAGTCATGTTTAAGGAAGTTTGGTCAAGTTGGTAGGTCGGTAAACAGTAGAAGATGTCCATACAGTCCACATTGAGCCAAGAATAAACATTAATTAACATGAAAGAGCTGTATAAACCCAGATAACACAAATATGTCTTATGGACGTTCTAAAAACGTCCTGCTTGAACATTCAGAACATCCTTACAACGTCCATTTCACGGACGTCTTTGGAACGTCCATTGTTAATAATCAGGATGTCTTAAGAACGTTCATTTAAGAATAATTTCAAAAAAAATTATTTGGAAGCAAATAACCTATGAATAAAATTATTAAAACTTTTTCGTCAAATTCAACCCGTCTCTCCTCTACTTTGCTCTTTTCAACCATGCCTGGATTGACAGCAGTTGTTTTTTTTTTTCTTGATTTGGCCATATTTGCCTTCTCAGCTGAACCTGAAAATAATTTAAACGCTTATTCAAAATGAAAGGCAGATCAATATGAAAATCCAATCTGTTTGTTTAAGTTTGCCCTGCTAGACATTATGAATTCACTAACCTTTTAGCTTTGTAGTATTCACTGGAAAACTTCCACCTTTCTCAGAGATAAAAATGGTACAAACTGCAGAAAATTGATATTAATCAACCACAAACTCACAGAGTCGAATCACAGTCAAATGGCGGAATGATAGAATTTGTACTCGTATAATATGTATATACCATTGAATCATGAACATTGAACACCATGTTTTTTTCTTTTTTTTTTAATAAAACCTGAGCCCTGAGAATATTTCAGTGCTTGAATCTAAATAAATAATAAAAAATAATAAAATGTCACTTGTCAACAATGTCCCTTTCTTGCAAGGACCTTCTTCGTTTTTTTCTATTTGGCCTTCATTCAATTGGATATTGGGGCAATGCCATATAATTATTTATATTATCTCATGTTGTTTATATAATATAACCAAATAATAATACAATGCGAATGTGAATCCATGGAAATGTAGAATTGACGTTCTATATGGATATCTATTTCTTGACGTCCCGAGGATTTACTAAACTGGACATACTTAAAACGTCCAGAATTGGTGCTGGACGTACAGATAATAAATTGACATGTAATGGACGTCCTTAGGACGCCCTGTGCTATCTGGGAAGCAATGTTAGAATTGGGAATAAATAAAAAAAAATACATGTGGTGTAAATAACTGTCGTGCGAGACATTTTCGACCAGTCTGATCCTGCTCTATGTTTATGTGCTAACGAAATTAGTGTCCTATATAAAAACTCAAATATAAAGAGGATCATCAATGCACAAATAATACGATGGATGGGACATATTTTGAGAATTCCAAACGTGTATTAGAGAAAAATACGTTACAGTAAACTAGGAGGGAAGAAGAGAAAAGGACGTCTAAAAGACAGATGGAGAAAGTATGTTAAAGAGGTCATTAAAAGATTGAACGTTGCTAACTGGAAAATAAAACGTTATTTTAATAAAAGGCTTATTAAATGTAAGAAATTTAATGTCGCAGAGGTAGGCATGGTCCTCAGCACGGTCTTCTCCTAAATCCGCTTTTGGTAAGTTGAATTTTTATGCATATTTTAGAGAATTAGGCTAAAATTTTATTCCTGTATTTTTCTCATTTAACAGAGTACCATTTTTCCATAAGGAAGTGCGAAATCCTCTGCCAGAGTTGCCCCTGCCACCTTTACCCATGGGCGAAGTTATGTCATCAGATCTGGGGGGCTAAAGCCCTAGCCCTAGTCATATAATATATAATAGTTCTAGAGGTATACCTACTGAAGTTAAGTAAAAAAATTCTGGCGAATCTATGAAAATGGATAAAATATCATATATAATATATATTTATATTAAGTGAAAAAACTGAAAAATTTTCATCACAATAATTTTCATCACAAAAATTTCCCTCATTTTCGCAGTCCTGAAATAGTAGTTTGTGCAACAAGAGTAGATAGGGGCAATCCACTCGAGTTATACAGTATATTTACTAAACCCAGGACATGTTTTATTATATGGTTTAAAGGACATTTCAAGTACCAAACTTTTATTATTGATGAACTTATTTAAAAATCTTACTAGATTTCTTCTTATATTATGAAGTGAATTATGTAGTACTTTGTATACATGTAAATGGTAATAAAAACCGTCACAAATCAGATTACAGTTTCGATTCTAAACAAAGTTTTGCAAAATTTCAATATTGTGAATTTGTAGATATTCATTTATGATAAAAAACAAAATTTTACGACTTTCACTTGGAAAATAATGAATACTGCAGTTTTGATTTTGACATTAACACCATATAGATTGCAATTTGATGGGGACTTTTTCGCAGATTTCATTTTTAACATAAACAAATTTAAAACTAAAAAGTAAGAAAAACTCGAATTGTAATTGATACAAATTAAAATGTAAACAATGAACACGTTGCCAAATGATGAACTGATTTTAAAACAAAATTAATAAATGAACTGAAATTTAAAAAAAATTTATATAATAAATCGGTTTTATAAAAAAATCCTTAAATAAATATAGAGTATGATTACATATTAATATACACAAATTTTGATTCATAAATAAAAGGTCTTATCCACTTCTTCAAGAGCTAAAATCCGACGACGTAGCGAAATTTTGCTACTTCTGGCAACACTAAACGATATCCTACTTATAGGGACCTTCTACAAATTTCCTCCGGAGGGCGTATCACTTAGCTTGAATCGCGAATAAAGACCCTTCCAATTATATCTTCTCAAGGAAGTGTAGGATTTGGAGTGGCTTCAAGTTAGGTAAATCTCCCTCTTCTATTTGATGTGCTCCTAGGTATAGTGCCCTTGGATTCTGAAGTGCTACACATTTAGTTAGAATGTGAATGAAGGTTTTTTTCCTCCTCCTCACAAAATCTTTTACTACTCTCAGTTTACTAAGGTGTCATTTTAATAGGCAATGCCCAGTAAGAATTCCTGTTACAAGTGTTCTCACTACTAGAAAAATGTATATAATGATAACAGCTTAAAATACAATCTGGCTAATGTGGAACAACCCGAAAGCGTTGCCAGACTCGTCTAATGACCGTCAGGCGCGCTAAATTCGGTACGTTCGATTACTATTCCTCTCCTCGCTTAACTACCTGGCTTGTCAGGTCCGACCGAAATACGGTTTTATAACCGAAACAGAAACCAAATTTCGGCTCCTTTCTTAGTTTCGGCCGAAACAGAAACAAGAACTTTCTGTTAAGGCAATCTCTTATTGAAATTTGCAATATCTTATTGTAATCCTTGTTTTAGACTAATTAACTCGTATTATAAATTTTAGCTACATTTACATATTACCTATTTATTTATGTGATCAAAAGAAGCCATTAATAAATTTATTGACATGTTCACTTGAAACAAAACAGAGAAGTTTGTGTGTACGTGCACTGTGTAGGAATGGCACCCGGCACAGTCCCCCTTGTGCCGGACACAACCAATTGTGATACGAAAACTTTTAAAAGTAGTTTCGCTGTCGGCTGCAGTTTCGGCCAGTTTTCCGCCGAAACCGAAACTGTAGTCGAAACTCTTATTTAAAGACAAAGTTGGCCGAAACCGTAACCGAACCTTCGGTCGGACACTACTTGTGAGTCTGGCAGGCCTCCGTAATTGTAATTGTCAGCCAGACGTATATTTTCACTTACGAATATTTTGAAATTTATCCTGAGTAGATGGATAATTTTCTTAAAATAAAATAAAATTTACTGATAATAACTTAAGCACGTTTGGTATTGCGTAAGAAAGTTTTACACCAAAATATCCACATTTCCAAACTTGACAGACATGCATTAAAACGTGTATTTTACCTAGTTATAATTGGTATTAAATAAAATATTAACCACTGAAATGGCAAATTTTTTATATGCATGAAAGAGCTGCACAACTGTCAAAAAAATTTTCAGTGTGATTTCGTTCAGGGTACCCACCAAAAGAAAATTTTCCGGAAATTTTTCTGGTTGTCATGGAAGTGTTTTAAAATAACAGCATTTGATTGGCTATAAAATGGAGGTGTAAAATTATAATTTAAAATCTAACACGTGACAAATTTTCAAACCCGGAAAAATAAAAGCAAAAATATAATATTTTTTCGATTTAGAAGATGTTACCAGACCATTAGCCAATTTCGTAAATCAGCCAGACTTATTATAAACAGTTCATGATTGTATCAATTTATATGCTCAATTTTCTGCCACACTCACTTTCCACTATCCGAGATAATCCAAACTGTTATTTTTATAAGCTTTATGTTCTAGTTTAGTAAATGTAAAATAATTATGACTGGGAAAATAAGTATCAGACTCAAAAATTTTGTTTTTTGTTACTAAGAGAACAGTTTATTTTCATATATACCGACTGGAAAAATGAATACGAAAAAAATTCACTGCCTCCTGAACTAAATGTAAAATTGCAGAATCAATCAAATGGCACGATTCTTTTTATTTTTTAATTTCTGTTCTGAAATCTGAAATGTTTGGGTGGATGTGGGATAAATGTTCGAATTATTTTTGGGGGGGCTAATTTGGTTTTTGGGGGGGCTTAGCCCCCCCAAGCCCCCCCTTAACTTCGCCCATGTCTTTACCCTCACTGACGGCGCCCGTGTACTGGCCCCAACAGTAATTTTCACCTTCTAGTAACATAATACAGATTACTATTAACTATATAGGAACTTAATAATAAGTTCTGATGCAGGCAAAATACTTTTTTTAATAACTTCCTCTTGCTATTCCACCACAACCTCTCTACAGTTTTTATACCAATTATTATTGTTGTATAAAAGAGAAAGTGTAAGGTCTTTCACACGCGGGAATATTTCTAAAAATGAACGGTCGAAGTTTACTCACCTTAGCAGTTGTACAGCATGTTTCATTGTCATTGTCGTCTGTGGCTACCTCATGTTTCGTTGTTAACGTTACGGTCATGTTCTGCAACAAACGAAGAAAATCAAATAAGAAATAACTACTGTAACATTGGCCATCATTACTTTCTCTTTAATTGCGTAGAAATATCAATTTAATGCGATCGTAGATTAGTGGTCGTTAAAAACTGTTTACGGTTTTTAACAATAGGTAAATTAGAAAAAATTGGTTTGTATGTTGACTAGATAAGATAATTAAACAAAATAATAAATTTAATTTGTGACTAAACATGATAGAAAAAAAATGAAAACAACAAATTATCCAAGCCACGATAATACGAGTTTCCCTTCAGAAAACGTCTTTTCCTTGGGCTACTTCGACGCTATTTTGTGACTTGTTATTTTCTCTCAACCTTCATGTAGGCAAGTGAATTTAATGGCTTTGCTGATTCGATTGGAGATTAAAATCGAGAATGTGTTTTTAGCTATTAAAAAAATATCGGAAAACAAAATAATAAAATACCTACTGATCATTGAAAACTAATTATAGAAAGTACAAAATACCTATCTAAAGTACAACACAGATTATTCAGTCATGCTCTAATCCTCCACGTCCCTCTCTGTCTTATTTGGCCTTTGAGGCTCATCATACATAATTAAACCCCTTAAGACCAAACATATGTGACGACTATGGCGAAGGCGCTTTCGGTTACTTTCCAGAATGATCGTTTCTGGTTTTGGCGGGAGCATTCTAGATTTTCACCAGAATTTTCAATGTGTATATAAATATTGGTGGAAGAACACGGACCAGTCAGTCGTATACAAATAGTTGTGAAGATGAATAGTGAACAATTTAAAGACATTCGAAATGTATATAAATTAAAATAAATAAATAAATTATTAACAAATAAACTGTTATTTAAAATAAACAAACGTAACAATACCAGACGTGAAATTATAGAAAATCATAACCAATTGTAACCAGAACATCTGCATTTTATAAGAATACATTTTCTTCTCAAGGTTTTTAGATCATTTATACAACAGCTACATAACTTGAGAAGGTTCGATATGAGCAACATGTTAGTAAATGATTGTAAAAGTAGGTACAGTATAACTTCAGTAGTCCGGGCAGATATCGTTCCGGGGCATGCCCGGACTATTGAGGCGTCCGGATTACTGGGATAATTTGAATTTATGAAATAAAATATTTTAAAAATGATCAAAAATAAGGTTTATTAATCACAACCAAAAAAATTACACTTCTCATAAAATAAAACAAAAAAAAAACAATACTTCTCAAAAAATACCTAAAACAAAAGTGTACACAATTCCTAAGTAAAATATGCAATTTGCATATCTTCTAATTTTTTGAAAAAAACTTATTAATTGTAGTTTGGACCTTTTTCGATGCATCTACATTAGTTGCTTTGTTTTTGAGCCTTCTCAAAAGCAATACATCTTCAAGGGGAAGATTATTCTCCTCAGTCCACCTGAGAGCTAGTGAAAACGCTTTGATAGCATCTGCATGTTTCACCTTCTCCATGTTTACACCACCTTCTGATTCAGAAGATTCATTTGTATTTTCAACATTGCTCCCTACTGCATCCTGGATAAGCTGTTCTTCAGTTAAATCAACAACAAACTCGTCTTCTCCCACAGCCCATTTTGTGATGTTTTCGCTGTTCAAGTTATTTTCTTGATCAATAACCCTTAAAGACTCTGTGATTTGTTTCAAGTCTTCCTGACCTATTAGACGAAGTTTCTTTTGAAGCTCTGCCAGTGGAATATTTTCGTCATCTGATTGTTCTGGTTCCGAAATCTCAGGCCAACTTTTTCTAATATTTGTTGAAGTTATGCTCTTCCAAGATTGATCAAGATTTTTCATTACATCTTTTAAATTATACTGCTTCAAAAGGATGACTAAGTCTTTATCTTCATGTAAAATGATATGATTGAGAAGGCGTTTCCTATATGACACCTTTATATTCTGGATTAAATTCTGATCCATCGGCTGAAGAACTGCTGTACAATTTGGAGGCAAAAACATAATCCTGAAATTTGGATTAGTATTAACCTCTTCCTCAGATGGGTGTGATGGTGCATTGTCTACTAATAGCAGAGCTTTACAGGGTTTGTTAATTCCTGTTAAAAATTTCTTGACCTCCGGTATGAAAGATGTTTTGAACCATTCCATAAATAGCGGTCTCGTCATCCATCCTTTGGTAGAAGCTTTGTATACAACTGGTAATGAAGTTTCATTTTTTAGTGCTCGTGGACGCGCCGCTTTTCCCAAGACCAACAGTGGTAACTTATGAGATCCCGCTGCGTTGCAGCATGGCATAAATGTTAAACGGTCTTTTGAAATTTTTCGACCTGGTGCCGATTTTTCATCTTGATGGACCCAAGTGGTATCAGGTAGAGTTCTCCAAAAAATTGCCGACTCATCAGCATTGTATACTTGCTCGTTGCTTAATTGTATCTCTTCAACTAGAGCTCTAAATTTATCCTGAAATGGTATTACGGCGGCAACATCACTGGAAAGTTTTTCGCCACAGACCTTCAAAAAACGGATTCCGTGCCTTAGCTTGAATTTGTCTAACCATCCAGAACTTGCTAAAAAATCATTTTTTCCTGTTATTTGTTCATAAAACTGTTTAGCTTTGGTACGTAATATTTCTGATGAAACAGGTATGTGCGCGTTTCGTTGTTGTAGAAACCAGTTGTACAATGCGACTTCAAGTTCAGGATGTTCTGCTTTCCGAATGATTCTCCTTTTGCCTACAAAAATAGAAGAATTGAATTGATAAAATATTACATACGAACTTATTGGTATTCCTACCTGACCCTTGAAATTATTTTGAAATAAAGGTCCTTATTTTATCTTTGTTTTTTTTTATATCAAACACTAGATTTTGGAATACCAAACTGCTCTGCAATTCGACGTGTACTTTTCCTGCATCAAGGCAATCTAATATTTTTCTGCCAGTGTAAGTGTCTTATGTAGTCGTTTTATTGGAGCCATTGCGTCCGGCACGCTTAAAAACCAAATGCGGAAAGAAAGATGAAGAAACGAGGCCACCGCTGCGCCGTTTCTAACACTTGTTTAGACCGAAAAATTCTAGTACATACCTATTGTAGTACTGTAATAGTAATTTACGGACGTGTATATCATACATTATTTTATTTCATACTGTCCTCAACTTTAAAAAAGTTTTAAAAACTTTATTTGACATTAGGAAATTCTAAGTGGTCAGTTTGTTAAAAGTGTATTGTTATTTTAAAAGAATACTTATTCGATTTAAAAAAAAATAGTACGTAAGTGAAGGTTACCGAAATAACGGTGTAAATAAAGCAGACATGTTTGTTTTTATATTAGGCATTTCAAACAAAATGGCTGCCCGTAGGAAATGACAGGCCACTATATATGTATCAATGACAACAGGCTCACAATGTTGCCATATCCAAACTGTCAGTTCCCACTGACAGCATTTTGACGGGTCGTTGCCTAATTGTGACTTTCCTCGGATAGTATGAAATAAAATCATTACAAGATACTTATAACATAACACACGCTATAAATATGTTGTTTAAGGAGCAAGGAATGATAATCATACGAGTAGGAAATGAGAATTCCTTGTAAGTTAAACACTATACTTTTTCTATAGCTATAACAAGCTTTTACACCCATTTTTAATTTGGTTTTATTATTGTCGTGCGACTGTACCTAAGACCAGCCCTGTTATTTGTTGACCTTCACTGCTGTCATTCTGTCTAGGATTTCACTTTCGCTGCCCGCCCGCCTCGTGTTTGAGACATTACTAGAACGTTTATTTGTACGAAGCTTGACGCGTTGAGTATAAATAAATTAATTAGTACTTGGTGTAAATAAATTATAAATATACTGTTTTAAATAAATAAACTATTTTAAAATAAACAATCGTACCAATAATTATATAATCAAAATTATCTCTTCTAGATAATTATTTAATCTGTGACTTTGTGTTATCGGATAAGAATGTGATACGGAAATGATTACTTTGTTATCAGAATTATCAAAGGAAATATACCTCCTTTCTTAATCAACAATAAGTGTAAGTGTAATTTTGTTACGAAACTTCGACAATACCCACCGTGATCTTATAAACCAGGTATTTCATTAAAATGGCCATTCTAAGTGACTTTTATGAAAATTTTACAGTGACGTAACTAGGATGGCATAGGGGTACGTACTCCTCCCCCTTGGAACATAAAAGTACTTTACTACTATTAGACAGACACGTAGTAAATATTTCGCGTTCTCAACACAGTCGGAGAAAAAATTTTTGTCCAGATCACCAGCGCTTGTCAAGTAGGAATACTACAGAACCCCTACAACCCTACCGGTGTGAACTTGGAAGTCAAATGCTAGGCCAATTTCCCGAAGATACCCGAAAGATCAGTAGCGTCTTTAAAATGGTTAAAACTTTAAAAATCGGTATACAAGTAAATAATAATAACTATAAACAATTTGAGTCAAGTTTTATTTCATTGGGAGGGGTCTAAGTTGGTTTAATGGGGTAGCAGCCCTTTTTGAAATATTGGAAAAAGATATTTGGTACAAAAGGGAAAAAGTTAACGCTTTAAAAATCGGTATAAAACTAGATAATAATATTAGAAACAATTTGAGACTAGTCTGATTTCCTTAGGAGGGGTCTAAGTTGGTTCAAAGAGGGAGCAAAGGGGTAGCAGAAATATTAAAAAAAGCTATTTGGTACAGATGGAAAAAAGTTAACACTTTAAAAATCGGTATACAACTAGATAATAATAATAATGTTTCTATTATTATTATTATCTAGTTGCGATCTAGTTGTATACCGATTTTTGAAGTGTCAACTTTTCCCTTCTGTACCAAATAGCTTTTTCCAATATTTCAAAAAGGGCTGTTACCCCATTAAACCAACTTAGACCCCTCGTAAGGAAATCAGATTAGTCTTAAATTGTTTCTAATATTATTATCTAGTTGTATACCGATTTATATCGATTTTTAAAGTGTTAACTTTTCCCTTCTGTACCAAATAGCTTTTT